CAAAAAAGTACTCCAGAGTGTTGTTCAGCATGGGGGTGAGTAGAAAATGAAGGCTAATCATGTTTTGGGTGTACTATTCCTTTAACTGTCCCATGTTGACTGAAGGAGAAGTGACAGCTCAGGGTGGTGGAAGACCAACTCTAAGTTCTAGTGAATCCTCTCTAGAAGCTCTGACCTGAAAATAAAGGGGGAAAAAATCTTGTCCCTACAGAGACTCAACATCAAGGTACAGACCAATCAATGAAAGAGTAGCATTATTGCTATTGGTGTTAATAAGGCTGTTTGTTCACGTATCCATTGACTTAGCAGCCACATCTGAACTCCAGCTTCAGATAACTCAAATGTTCATACCATATTTTGAATTCTGTTCCAATCTAATCCCTCTTAGATAAAATATGTTTTGCTTATACCAAAAAAGTTTAAAAAAAATAACAACAATCCACTGGACTTTGTTTCCAAGTTTGAAGTCGTTTCGCTTCCCATCCAGGAAGCTTTTTCAATTCAAAATGACAGAAATAGAGTTGAGCTCGATTAGGTTTTTGGTTCACTTTATAAAACCTGGAACTCAACTCTATTTCTGACATTTTGAATAGAAAAAGCTTCCTGGATGGAAGAGAAACGACTTCAAACTTGGAGACAAAGTCCAGTGGATTGATTTTTAACTTTTTTGGAACGACTCTGACCTGGATGATTCATTTATTTTCATTTATTTTTTGCATTCAGCCTTGAACTTTTCCTCGTTATTACCCCACTGTTAAAACAGCTCACTTCAATCCAATTTATATTACAGCTCCCTTTATATAGAGCAAAAACAAAAAATAGTTAAACTCAAAGCAGGTAGCGACCTCTATCAAAGCAGTGTAATGGCAACCAAAGGTGGTTCTGCAGCACATAGATTCAAAGGAGTCAAACAGTTAATAAATACCTCCTAGGTTTTGATGACATTTGAAACAGATGTATGTTGTTCACAAATAGCTTTCAGTAATTTATCTGCTTTCCCAATCTTAAAAAAGCAAGAGATAATTGACCTGAACATCTGAAATGAGACAAAGAAGCTATTGATAAAAACCAGAGATGATTTTCAGTTTGACAAGAGCGTAATATTTGATTATTGCTCTAAACAAATGTACCAGTGATGCTATTTTTGAAAACTAAGCACCACTGTTTTCTGTAGGCTTTATGCAAGCATCAAATTAGTTTTAGTGAAAGATTTGGGCTTTGGTAGGCGGGCCAGAGTCAGGGGGTGAGTATAAAACTGCAACACCATTTTGAAAAACCAGAAGCACCAGAGGAACCCGACAATAACGGCAACAGATTTAACAGGAAGAAGATGGACATCATCAAGCACCATAAGAGAAGTTCTATGGGTAAGCTGATGAAACTACAAACTTTGCTCCTCTAATAATGCTCAGAAGGCTGATTTTATTTCCCCACAGGGGACAAAACATCCAAATCTAGGAAGAGTCCCAAACCCTTCACCAATGTTCAGGGTCTTCCTTGCATTGAGAAGATCGTAACCTCAGTGGAAGATTCTCCAGAGCCCATTAGCACCAACATCATCGGCACCATCCCAGACTGGATCAACGGGAACCTCTTGAGAAATGGGCCTGGAAAGTTTGAGATAGGTAACCACAGGTGTGTTCAACATCCAGCTTTCCCTTTTAGTCAGTGAAATGGTAACCTGACTCCTCCAGATGGATTTGCTCCGCATATCCATCTGGAAACCTTCCGTTGAAGTAATTTTGGGAAGGGGCGAAAATACTGGTTAGCTGATTGGCCTATGTTGGTGATAGACGGGCCAAATAAACCAATCAGATCAACGAAGCATATGACGTACTAACAGAGCGACGACGAAAACACAAGCCAGGCTACTCTTGCCGAAACCAGTCGGAATTACAGAGTATTTCTTCTTTCAGTGAAGAAATACTCTGTAATTCCCATAAAACTTGCTCGATAGCCACGCTAACGCTAGTTTCATCGGCTGAAGCCGCCATGTTCTTTAGACTGAACTGTCGCGCTTCTCGTTGCGTCACACCTCAACCCGCCTCAAAGCCAACGCTGATTGGACGTTCGTTTGGTGAACGGCTCCAAATTTTCTTTAACGGAGAGTCTCCAGACTGATTAGCTAGTGAAACCTTGAAAGCTCGCGAGATCAGGATGGTCTCACGAGGCTAGTGAAAAGGAGCTAAGAGAGTAAAGCTTTCCAGACTCCATGACCAAACTTTCTACTGATCTCTCCACCAACCAAAGGTTCAACCACTGGTTCGATGGGATGGCTCTCCTGCACCAGTTCAAAATATCCAACGGGCAGGTTACCTATAAGAGCCGCTTCCTGTCAAGCGACAGCTACCAATCCAACAGGGAGCAGAACCGCATTGTGGTGGCGGAGTTTGGGACCATCACCATGCCGGACCCATGTAAAAACTTCTTCCAGCGCTTCCTGTCAAGGTTTGAATTACCAAGTGAGTGCTGCATACTATCACACAACTGCTTAGAAAGACAGAATGGGAAGTCCCAATTGGACACTAACAGCTTCTTCTTTCCTTCTAGAACCTACGGACAATGCCAATGTGAGCATTGTGAACTACAAGGGGGATTTCTATGTCAGCACAGAAAGTAATATCATGCACAAGGTGGACCCCGAGACCCTGGAAACAACACAGAAGGTAGGAATAGCCTTGTCTCCATAAACATTATGACCTCATAAAGAAATTAAACTAGAATGGAAATGAAGTTGACACTAATTATTATTTCTACAAATGCATTCATATGCTTTAGGTGGACTGGAGCAAATTTATCGCAGTAAATGGAGCTACTGCACATCCTCATACTGAACCGGATGGAACAGCGTATAACATGGGCAATTCCTACAGCAGCAAAGGTATTTACATCATATGTCAAGATTAAGGGAGGCAACATCATCCCTGTTCTCAGGTTTAAATGATCTGTTTTGTCTGCGCTGCCAGGCGCGTACTACAACATTATCAGAGTGCCTCCAACCAAGGAAGCCGAGGATGAAACCTTGGAGGGCACAACGGTGCTGTGCACCATTCCAGCGGAGGACAAAACCAAACCATCTTACTACCACAGCTTCGGTCAGTCAAAGATCTGCTGCTTTAACCTGATTTACAACTTTCCTTTTGGTTTATGTAAAACAGTGAAAACCAAAAATAAAACTGATCTATGATTAGCACAGAATTACCCATGTCCCTGAAAGGGTGAGATACCAAATGCCTTTCATTCATCCAAGAACCAGAGGACTATCAAAGTATGTAAATATGTAAAAAAAAGAAAAAGGCTTTAATGTTAGAAAGTTACTGATTGATAGATTTATGTAATTTTATGGTACTTCTGCAGTCAAATAATTGAGAAGATAACTAATCTTTAGTTACCTCTAAAGATTGATGTCAGCACTCTGACCAAAAAGTTGATAAAAGTTTGTGTTAGGAGCAACATGTTGGTGGAAATCCATGGTGAATTTAGTTATGCCAGATTCTTGAATAGTTCTTTCCACACTTGCAGCATTCAAATAACAAGCTGATAAAATCCTCTGATTGTGTGTTTTTAGCAATGTCTGAGAACTACCTGGTGTTCATTGAGCAGCCCATCAAGATGGACCTGCTAAAGATTGCCACTGGCAAACTAACCAGGAAAAGCATCAGCGATTGCCTCTCCTGGAACCCAAAACTCAACACCATCCTTCACCTGATTCACAAACAGACTGGAAAGGTTGGGACAAGGTTCCCTAAAAGTTCAGCAGTCTGTCATTAGCTCCATCCAGCTGTAACATCTCTGTCTCTGACCATCAGGAAAGCTCAATCACTTATCTTGCCAAGGCCATGTCTACCTTTCACCAAATCAACGCATACGAGGACCAGGGTTTCTTGATCATCGACTTGTGTGCTTCAGACGACGGACAGGCTATAGCAAACTACAACATTCAGAACCTTCGCAAGTCGGGAGAGGCCCTTGATGAGGTAAGATGATCAAGAGCAACAAAATTCCCAAACATTGTAAACTTAACAGCTTATTTGTCAGATGCACCCTACTTTTTAAAGACACATATCTATATTCAGACATCTCAAAGCAGCAAAGACAAGTTCCTGAATTTCAAAACAAGCTAATTCTATCTCAGATTTAGAGAGGATTGAAAAAATAAAAGCGTATTCAACTAAAAAAACCTATTTGGAGAGCACAGACCTCTGCTAAGCAACAAATTCTGCCCCAAATTGTGACTTATACCTTTAGCTAAAACTCACAAGCGAGCTGGTTCCTTACCAAATTTAAAGGTATAGGGGAAGATGTTCTTTTTTCAGGTGGATCATCAAAAAAGGTGGTCCTCCTAATTGTCAATCATTCTGGAGATCTTGGTCGGGAAACAAGGCAACGGCTCGTAGTCCATATCAGATCCTACAGGACTTTCCTCTTGAAAGCTCTAAATAAATAAAAAAATTAAAAAATCTGCTAGATGATAACTTGTTTATTGGCCAATAGCATGCTAAAGTTAGCTATAAACATACTTGTAGCTACAGAGACACACATATATTTGCATTCACAATATCTGTATAACAATTGACTTGACATGTTTTTTAAAAACGTTTCCTAGTCGTAAATGAATTTTCACTTAGTGAGTCTGACATAGTGAAAAAATTGCAAATCTTCTTTTGAAAGTAAGCTTGTATGAGCGATGCAAATAGCAACATGTAAACAGAGCGTGCACGAGGAGAAATGGGCTCGTGCACGTTCTCGCACGTGTTTAATAGGTGTTCCCTCTCGGGAGCAGCAGGTACAGGGTTGTGCATGTGCTTTTTTTTTAACTGGAGAAGCAGTTCTTTTTTAAAATTAGAAAAAAATCCTCCCCATACCTTTAAATAAATAAAAAATGTCTGTAGAATCTGTTCATTCGTTTACAATTGATCCGCTAATGAACTGACAATGTTCCCTTTTCTTGTCTTCAGTAAAATAACTCCGGTCTTTCTGAGTCGGATGCTGAGGCTGATCAACACTAGAATCTAGCTCAGGCTAGGAAACAAACCACCTCATCAGACATTACCCCATCCAATGTTATCCGCTTATCTGGCACAGGCTTGCAGGGAACGCAGTCTCAGCAGAGACTTTTTTTATTTCAACTTTTTATTGTTCTTACACTGTCACAAGTACAGAGCAACCAAATTAAGTTTCTGCACTTAACCCCTCCCCTTGGGGAGCAGTGGGCTGCCATTGTGCGGCGCCCCGGGGAGCAGTGTGGGGTTAAGGATCTTGCTCAGGGACCAAAAGAGTCAGTCTGTGGGAGTGGGGCTTGAGGTCAGAACCTCTGGATTCCAGCACAATGCCCAAACCACTAGGCCACACTCCCCTCTCCTGACACCATCTCAGGCTCTAATGGGGGAAGCCGGGGGTATTACGGTGCCAGTCGAGTGACATAGTCCCTCCAACATGCCTTTGGTTGTTTTCTGGGCGTCCTCCCTTTACAGTAGAGACCACCTCAACTGCCTCCCCTGGATGTGGAGGAGATATGGCTCTACCCCAAGCCTCTACTGGATGGTTGAACTCCTCAACCTATATCCCAGGGGGGCCCAGCAACCCTGGAAAGAAAGCAATTATCAGCTGTTTGTACTGGAAAAGGTCAGGGTGTCAGATAAGAGACACAAAATTTGGTGGAAACAACCTAAAGGCATAGATCCATCCCTCTTTGTATCAATCAGAATTTGAGTTTCTTGCTGCAAAGAAACAAGCTAATCACTCAGTCGCCATGCAGCCTGCAGAGTTTTTGTTGCTTCTCATTGCAAAAGATTCGCTTTAACCCGAGTCTCATAGGATTTATGTTTTCTCTCCAGGTCTACAACACCCTGTGTAGAGTCTTTCCTCGGCGTTTCGTGCTACCTCTCAGGATTGATCCCTCCACACCCTACAACCAGAATCTGATTGACCTGCCCGACTGCACAGCCACCGCTATTAGGATTGGAAAGAACAAGGTTATAAATTGAGTCAAACTGTTTAAAAACGCTGTCTCGCTCAAATGTTGTTTCTGATGCAAACTTTTACTTCTAGGTCTTCTGTACCCATGAGGACCTCCATGGGGAGGATCTCCACAAGTATGGGGGTCTGGAGTTCCCCCAGATCAATTATGGCAGGTACAACATGCATCCATATCGCTACTTCTATGGCTGTGGCTTCAGACACCTTGTAGGAGACACCCTGCTGAAGATGGACCTGCAAAGGAAACAAATGAAGGTAATTTGAGAAAAAAAATAATAAAAAAATTGGGGAAAATGATGTAAATGTAACACATTCTCCTCCATAAAAGGTGTGGGACCATCCTGGTCTGTATCCCTCTGAGCCGATCTTTGTACCCCGCCCCAATGCCACAGAGGAAGACGACGGCGTCATCCTGTCTGTGGTCATAACTCCAAACAAGGTCAGTCAAACACGCATTCGAACTGGGGGAGCTTTAAAACCTCACAGTGGGGAAATCAAGTCAAACTACAGTAGTCATAAAGGTCCTGCCAGCATAAACCACGTTTACTCAACACTAGTTTATAAGAAAATAGTTTCTTCAACCTTCACCCTTCGCAGAGTGTGCAGTTCCAACTAATTCCTGTTTGTGCTTGGGTTTCCTTGCAGGACAAGAGTACGTTCCTTCTTGTTTTGGATGCAAAGACGTTCGAGGAGCTGGGAAGGGCTGTGGTTCCAGTCAACATCCCATATGGCTTCCATGGAACATTCAGCAGCACAGCCTAGACACGCCTGCAGAAACATCCTGAACATTTCAAATGTTTTTCGTCTGAAAATGAAAAATTATTTTGCTAAATATTCAATAATGGACAAACACCCTGTGTGGCTTACTGTAAATATGTAGCATCAAACATTGTTCTGATATTAGTTAAAAGCATGTTGATACTTTAAAGGCTTCAAGCTGCTTTACCGTGCATATGCTAACATTGATGCTACGTTCAGACCACAAGCAGCAGGAGCAGCAAAATGCACCTCCTCGTTCATATTTAATGCCTGTAAAAGTTTAGTTCTGACACGTGGCTGATGCATCTTTGCTGCTCTGGCTGCACGGTGGAAAAGTGGGTCTGATGCGCTGTGGGCGGAGCTACCCTATCCTTTCTCTGCCTGGAACAATGGCAGCTATATTTGCTGTGATCAGTGGGTAAAAAACAGTTGTAATACACTACTTAAAAAAATTAAAGGAACACTTTTTAACCAGAGTATAGCATCAAGTTAATGAAACTTTTGTGATATTGATTTGGTCAGGTAAGCAATAATAATGGATTATCTCTTTAACATAAGTCAAATTTTTGCATATGTGCAGAATTCTATTATAATATATAATATATATAATAATATAATATATATAATCAATTTTAACAGATCATATTCTCTTTATTTCAAGCGTATTAAACTCGCTCTTAAAAATGGTTTTGCTAATGTCAATGCAGACCAATAGAAATACATCTTTACTCCTCATTGCAGAAGTTGTGAAGAGAATCTGTGTAATGCAATTAACTTAATCTGAAAAAGTTACACTTAAAAATAAAATCTGTAAAAACATGTAAACAATAGAATAAAAGTTTTTAAATACTTAAAGATACAGAATCTGAGAAAACATCAGTTATGCTTAAAACCGTTATTTGACAAGAAGCTTTTATTTAAAGTTTCCTTTCTGGACTGTTTTTTTTTTTCTTTTTTAATTTTCCGTTCATAGATTTTTTTTTTGTCAACAATGGTAAAAAAATCTGCTTAAAAAGTTACGTTTTGAGTTTTTTTTTATTTTTATTCATGTATTTTATTAAACATTTTTTACTCCTTTGTGTAAATACTGCCTGAACAAGTGGATCCATTTTCAATTTGTTTTATTTCAGCAACAATAAAAATAAATTACATTTTAAATGCAGTCTTTTGCCATTTAACTACAAAGCAAACATGTTTTTATATTTTCCAAGGAA